ATGCCGAATATTCAGGGTCTGAAGCTCCTATGCCTCAACATGTCTTATGTAATCAAACTTCGACAGCTTTAGTAGAAATTTGTAATTAAAAATAGTAGTCTGAACAATTTCAAGTTCATTTAAGGCATTGGTCTCAAACTCAATTCCTGAAGGGCCACAGCTCTGCACAGTTTTGCTCCAACCCTAATCAAGCACATTTGACCCAGCTAATCAAGGTCTTCAGGATCACTAGAAACTTCCAAGCAGGTGTGATTGGGAGTTGGTTGGAGCTAAACTCTGCAAAGCTGTGGCCCTCCAGGAATTGAGTTTGAGACCACTGATTTAAGGAAAAGAAGACATCTATGGGGGAGTATTTGTATATTCAACAGCATTTTCCTGCAATTTCTGAGTGCACTACCCACATCAGCTCAAGCCCTCGTCTCAGAAGTCAAGAACACCTCGACTGTGACTGACACATTTCATAATAGACAGTATTTTTAGTCCAAGCAGAACCTACTTTCGAGGAGGTCACAAAATGTTACAGAGGTGATAAATTTGATAGTAACTGCTCTTTATGAATTTTCAATGAGACCTTACATCAGGTCAAACAGAAGAATAGATTTTATTTTCTTGTTCCATTCTAAAGTAATACAGGTTTAGAAATACATGAGGGTGAGTAAATTATGCAAATGATTAATTTTGGGTGATTTAGGTGATCTTTTTTCATCTTTATAACTATCCTTTAGACATTTTGTTGTATAAATGTCAAACTTCTGCCAAACAATCATAAAACCTTATTAAGTATGCACTAAATACAGCATATATAAAACTACATATAATTGAACTGAGTCTGTCTTTTTAATAAATACTTAGCAAACCTGTGGCAGACCAAGCAAAATCCTATACTGCAGTGTCTGATACGGTACATTTAAAAAGATGAAAACAGTATACACAAAACAGTACACAGATACCTTAAACAGCAAAAACCATGAAAATATTAAACTAGAGAATAGGTAACACTGTGAGTTATGATCTGGAGGAGATATCACGTCTTAAGCAGAAGGTCAGTTGCTACCTGTTGTGGACAGCTGTCATTACTCAGGAGTAAAGCTCACTGCTGGCTTTTAGTAAGCTGATCTCATTGATTACATTTATAACATCTGCCATCAGTCCTCCATGCACAGTCATATATTTCTAGCCATGAATCATGAATTAGATAAGAGTCTTATCATTGTGATTTCACTTGGGTGTAGTCCAGTGCGTATTTACTTTAGGGAGTTAAAAAAGGATGAAATATGGCAAGCCGTTTTAACATTCTGTCATTAAAACGTACTAGTATCTATGTTACTATTACTTATTTTGGTGACACTTTACAACAAGGTCCCATTAGTTAGGGTTAGTTAATTACTTAGTTAAGTCCATTAAATACAATTTTTGATTTAAAAAAATGTATTAAGTCTTGAAATTAAAATGAATAATAAAAGCGTTTAGTATTTTTCATTGTTAGCTCATGTTAACTAATGTTAACGAATGGAATCTTATTGTAAAGTGTTGCCTTTATTTTTTACATTATTAGTTACTGGTATTCCAGCTTTTATAGTACTACCAGCATGTATACATTTTTTAAAATCTAACTAGTATAATATTATTTGAACTATACATGAACAGCCATTTTGATTAGTCATAACATACCATTTAAATAGCAACAGTAGCTAAATAGCAACAGTGAAATAAGAAATGTTACAAGTAACAACTGGGATAAATACTAGTCACTAGTATAAATACAAGTACAACTGGAATAGATACATACTATTGGAATATATTAGTAACTAAGAAAAAATACTACTAACTATTGAATAGTTACTAGTAAACTGGATTAGGTCAGAAGTTAATAACTGAGTTTTATATCTGAACCACTGATAGGTATAAAATTCAATGGCAAAGTTGCAGTGGAATAGTTACTAGTCACTGCTTAGTGACTAATAACTAACTATTGGATTAAGATCCACTTGTTAACATGAATTAACATGAACTAACAGGTGAATAGTTATTAACCAAGTTTAATTAATGGGACCTTATTGTGAAGTGCTGCTGAATAAGCACTAGCATCCAACGACTCGGCTTACATTAATGAAAAGAATAAGTCATTGTATCATAAAATATATAGCCGATTAGTTAGTAACAAGGAATACAATTTAAAAACGGCTTGCAATATCTATTTCTGACGTCTCTGTGGGTGACAGTAGTGGCAGTACATGTAAGCCACAAAGCACGTTTGCACTTTTCTCCGCTTTACCTCGTCCTCCCGATCGTTCTTGAAACACAGACAAGCTGCTCGTTTTTTGAAGCCCTCTCCGTCATAGGTCCTAGTCTGATTGGGCTTAAATTTCATCATGTGGGGTTTTCTCCGAACAAAACAAGAATACAAGTGTTCTCGGTTGCCTAGTTTTTGGATCCTACGCGCAACGCAACTGCCTTTCAGGCCAAGAGCTGAAAGTCGTCCCAGATTTTCCAGGCTGATCATACAGTTTGCATTTATAAGAAGTGCCTCACGGTGAAGACATAATTCCTCTCTTGACAGCGGAGATTGTGAGTTGGGGTGTTCTCGTCTTGACCATGGTGGCTGCTTGGTGCTGTGTGAAGACTGCCGCGGCTCTTCAGCTCTGCGCAGTCGCCTTAAATCAGCTGCAATAGGATCAGCGTTACAAACCCAAGATGCCATCAACAGATAGGCGTTTCCCTTTTTGAAAATATGAATGAGACATGATCCCAGACGACAGTCGAAAGGTGAAATTGATTCACGAGCGCTTTAAGGGAGTAGAATTAAAAATGCTGCATCACTATCATTTTAATACAAATGACAGTGATTGATTTAAAGTAACGCTAGAGACAAAAGCCACGCTGCAGCGTTATAACAGAGATTGTGGTGATGTTGTTCTGGCCCCATCTGCTGGTGCCCTTGAATTAATACAATCAAGAGTGCAAAGAGAGCAAATGTTTCAAGAATAATGAACTATTTTAACTATTTGATGCTGAACCGTTTTACAAAACATGACTGAAAGATTAGCGACTTGACTGATAATAATTGAACACAGAACGTTTTAGTAAACCGTGCAACAACTGTATAGCTAAAATTCATTTTTATTAGTCTATAGTAAATAATACAATATTTAAAAGAACCTCAAGTGGTGAGTGAACCGATTCACGGAGAAAAGTCAGATTTCGCGTCACTAAAGGAACAAAAGAACGGTGTATGAGAATCGTTATGGGGAACACGGACTTAAAGGGGTGATGTGATGCGATTTCAAGTTTTCCTTTCTCTTTGGCGTGTTACAAGCTGTTCGTGAATAGATAAGATCCCTCAAGTTGCAAAGACTAAAGTCTCAAAACCAGAGAGATATTCTTTATCAAAGTTAAGACTCTGCCACGCCCCCACATATCTACCTCACTATGTGGAAATATTTGCATAATGCCGCACGCAAAGAAAGAAGGCGTGGTTTCAGTAACCGCCGTTAGTGTTGAAGCAGCCATGTCAGGGAGACGCTGTGTGTTTCTAGGCGAAAGCAAAAGCACTTTATTTGGCCTTCCAGAAGTAGATTGATTTAGGAATCTTTAAGATGACTTACAACAGAACAGCAATGCATTTTATGGACGACCGTTTCGTGAACCTAGGAGAGGAGGTAATTCTGACTTTGCTATGACAATCTGGCGCTTCTGAATCAGCTACTGTTTTGTTATTAGTTTAAGTATTTGCTATTGACTGTTCAAATGC